CCTAAAGCCCTAAAGCCAGAGCTTTGCTATATCCAATGTATATGTCATAGTAACATCAAGAGGATTTTTAATTTGGGAAACCACTGTGATGTAAACTAACATGGCATAATTTTGAAGAAGGTTTTGAGCTGTGCTCTGAGGCAGCTTTTGATCAGTGACTGCAGATGGCCTACAATAGCCATTTGTGTTGCTTTTGTGACTCCTGTAGGAAGGTCTGATACAACTGCATAGGAAGCTTGTTTCTGACAGTATTATAGCAGATTTTGTCTAAAGATTAGTATTTTTCAATAGAACTGCAACTTCTTTTAGTGGCATGACCATGAACGGAGCATTACAGGAGCTACAGCTCCAGCAGATTCATACAAGACAAACTTACATTCTAGTTTTAAGTATTTCAGTTGAATACTTGCACAAAGTATTTACTAGTGCTCCTGTACGTATCAGCACTTGCTGATGGTTACAAAGCTTGCAGAAAATCCTCAGGTAATGGGATCTATTTCTAATGGGACAAGCAGCTACATCACAAAGCATTTAACTTCCTAACACTTTCCCTCTCTGTACATGGTTCAACATTAGAGCCTCAGCTTTGCAAAGGTAAGGACATACCTGATTTGTGCCATTCAGAAATACTGCTTTGAATACTTCACAAATGGTCATTGCCTTTCCTGCATGAGAAAGACAGATAATTATATTAATTTTCCCACAGCACATTCTAGCAATATTTTATAAATATAAAGCAATATATAAAGCAATGACTTCATAAAAACGAGCCTTCTTAGGTGTCCTTGCTATTGTCCTTCATGAGTGACCTTGGAGAAAAACCACTGTCATATCACTGTGGAACTAAACCTGGGACTAAAACATTTACACTTAATATAATGAAAAACATTATAGACAATCCAAATGAAAACCAAACACTAACCATGCATTCTTTATTATCCATGCAGGCATCACTGTAGAGGTATTATTATTCTATGTACATTTATAAATGGGTGGTGCTGTGCATGTGTATACAGAATATGCTTCCTGGTAAATGGTAAGTGAAATGATAGATGCTACTACAAATTTTTCTGTTGCTGTAATTTGCTAGAATAAAATTGCTAGAATTTGTTGCCATAAGGTCACAGAATATAATGTAGCCAACTGGCTCAAAAGGGGATGTCCCTCCTACTATAACCTCAACAACTAGATCTCCACCAAAACAATTTACAGCAAGTCTTATATAAAAAAAAGTTGGCTGTGATAATCTATGCCGGCGTCTTCATGCACGTCCCTCCTCTAATTCCCCTCTTAATTCAACATGGCATGTCTAGACTCCATTGGTTTCTTTGGCAGATCAGGTAATACTGAATAAGACTTAGGACATGGTGATATACGCCCTGTATTCTCTTGTCAGAGATAAATTGTGACTAGTCAGTCCTCCTTTGAGTTCTCTCTAGCTGTGGGTGTTCAAAAAAATGAGTATGTAAAACTGCACGATGAAAAGATTTAATCTGAGAAGTAATGGTCAAACCTCAGATCAACCAGCCAAAAGGTAGTTATTTCAAAAATCATAATATTGTACATTGCATTTCAGCTTTTCTCTTTTGAACCGCAGGTGAAGCTCTTGTGGTAATCTTTTAATAGTTTAAAAGAATAGTGAAGTTCAGAATCCAATGAGCTTTACTGGAATGCTGAGTGGCAAACTGCATTTCTGTTTAATTCTTCAGTCAATGAAGAAAAAGAACAAGAGAAAAACTGTGGTATTTCCAGGGAAAGATTGTGAATTATGTCAGGTTTGTTGATTTATAGTACTTATTTCTGTGTCAGCAATTAATTGCAGCCATTGGTGCACATTTATGATGACTGGCTTTTACTTTCCTGTGGTTGTATGGGTAAACATTGTGGGAATGCCCCCTGTCTTCATTTTAAATACAATTTAGTTTTAGTAGCTCACTCACCTCTTTCACAAATATAAACAGAGCAGGGGAAATGAAATAAAATAAACATTGGGGAATACTGAGGAATTCATCTTGTGAGAAGAGTCTTTTTTAAAAGAAAGGTTTTGATGAATGTCTTAAAAAGGATACGTGCTTACTCAACTTACATGGACAGTTTATGTAGGTTGAAAAGATAAATTCCTATGAGAGGAATTGCTCTTATAAATCCAGACAGAAGAAGAGAGAGAAGGTGGATATTTTGCTGGTAGCAAGTGTGTTCTTAATCGATTAATGAGATGCTGTTTCCTACTCTGAGCACTGACATTCAGTAAACCATTTAGAATGATTGACCACAAAGTGCCAAATCACTTTCTCTGGCTTTCACTAACTCCTTTCCAGTATTAACACAATTAGTGTAGTACTTCCACAGCAGCTTTACCTCAAGGATCTCAACTGGATTAATCTGGTACTTAATGTACATAACTGGTACATAACTGGGTTGTGGCCTCTGCTGCAGTACAGTGTAGGCTGAGGACAACTCAGAAGGAACCGTACTACCCAGTAGGAGTCCCAGGAAGCCATGCTCATGATTTCCATAGTGCAATGCACTCTGAAGCCTTCAGCACCCATGTCAAACTTGCAAAGAGAAAGGATAGTGTAGAAGTTACTTACCCAAGTTCTACTGTGTTCAAGCTGTAAGACTGCTAATTTTGCTGCATCACACTCTATAGACTAATAATTCACTGCAATTTTGGGAGCATTTTCTGAATTACCTATGGTATTCTGAGCAGCAGATTGATGTTAGCAGATCTAACCGACACCGAGGGTGTCCATACAGTGTGAATTACTCCTTCTCCACAAAGTTAAGTCTAAATTAAAACTTTGAATCTTTTATGCTGAAAATTCTATTTTAACCATCAGAGTCTTGTGCTCTATTTAGAGACCTCAGTAAACTTGAAATTAAATCGCTGGAAAAGCTGATCTGTAGTACTGATTTTTCCCTTTCATTACAAACCTTCCCTAATGAATACATAAAGATGTTTTGATGAACTCTACTTTTTTAGTTTTATGACTTTGTATAAATTTATTTTTCCTCAGCATGAGTGCCTAAATAGATTATGCTCATGTGGAAATTAAACCTGCATGTAGCATTGATTTATTCTTGACATAAACTTTTCTATCATCACATCCTGGTCACAAAAGGAACAGGTGTTATCAGGATCTAATGTTTGTTTACTGTAAAGCTAGTCTAGACAGATTCTATAAGGACCTTTCTACATCTTGATGGCTAAATCAAACTATTTAATAGTATTTAATAATAAAATAAACACGCTTGCAGAGTTTGCAGGCCCCAAGATTAGAGCAAGAACTCTCCAGGACACAGATGATCACTGGTAAGCATTTCGTACAATGCCTGATAACAGCTTGGACCCTGTTCCTGCAATTTTACACCCTTTGCTTTCTTTTGATTCTAACTCAGAGGTGACAATGGCTGATCATTGCAGTGGCATGATGGTTTAGACATAAGAATGCCTCCAGTTTAGATTTATAATACAGCTGATAAATCACCTGCCTAATACATGGTGTTTGTGGGGCTACATAAAACTTCCAGGTAACTGCAAATACAGCTGGAAAAAAGAGAAGCTTGGCGTCCCAGTTAAGACTCATGTACCTCAAAGCTTGTTTATTTTTTCTTACTGCATCAGTTAGTGTGACAAAACATTTCACCTTGCTTCATAAACCTCATACAGCTTCTATTACCCAACCTGTGCAATTACAACAAGCTAACAGCTGCTTATTTTGGAGAAGTACATAGGCACGTTCATATATCACAAATACAGCTTGGAGATGTAGGCAAGAGATGGCAAAAGCTCAGAGTAATGCTATAGCTGCTTAACAATGTATTCCTGAATTGAAAGACTATTATAATCCCAGTGAAAGTACCTTTTGCAGAACAAAATGTAGCCTGTAGTGCTGATGATTACTGTGTTTAAGTAAATGCACTCTCAAAGAATATTTTCCTTTTAACTGATCCTACTGCTGAAACCCTACTGGTTCACAATAGCTTGTTGCCATGGATGGGTAATGATGTCACACATCCTGCCCTGTGTCCATGCTAGAAAATAAACGAGAATGGGTTGTTTTTTTTTTTAATGACTAGGAGTTAGCAATTCTCTGGAAGGGCTGAAGTGAATTACAAGTAAGAAAACAGGACGCCCTATTGACCCTACCTGCACTGTATCTTCATGCCAGCAAAGTGACGCAGTAAAACTCCATAGTAAATGCTCTGCAGATTTAAAGACAAGGTTGTGCTTCTGCAAATTACCTTGTTATCCAACAGATTTCAGTGGGCTGAAGATAAACAAGAGTCTAGGTGAAATGTGGCTTAGGGGACCATGCATGTGTCATTGGAAACTACCTTCCTTCCTTCTGAAGTTTTTGGAAGAGGGTAACACTGCTTGTATCCTTCCCTCCATCAGTGGTGACTCTGACAGGAAAATGATCTCGGGCAGGGTACAGACATCGCTGCTTCAGGCAGCAATTGCCACGACTGCCTCGCACCACCTTTCAGATTAGATCTGTCCTTTGAGGTCGGCATCTGGAAGGCAAAGAACAGAGGAAATCTCTTCTAAATGCAGACAACAGGCTGCAAGAACAGCAGCATCGTTACTGCTCCGCAGACCTTGGCTTCTGCACCCTGCTCTCCTCAGGGACGGCTGTGTTTGGAATAAGGAAGCTTCTGAGGTGAGACCATCCAAGAGTTCCAAAGCTGCACGAGCTGTTGGGATAGCGCCCTCCCCGTGTGTCCTATCAGGTATCTCTAGGAGCCTTCTCGTCTAGGGCTGCCCTGTCCGTGCTCCCCCCCCCCCCCCCCCTCCGTTCCCACACACATTCCTTCGCACACCTGCGGGGACAGAGCCGGGCCAGCGGCCGGGGCTGGCGGCCGGGGCCGGGACGGGTCGGGAGCAGGGTACGGTCTCGACTCGGTCGCGATGCGGAGCCGGGGCTGAAGCCGGGTCATTGCGGGGTCACCGCTCCGCCCGGCGACAGGCGAGCAGCGACGGGCGATGGCGGGGCGGGGCTGGGCTGGGCGGGCGGCGGGACCCGCCGTGGCGGCGCGGGCGGCCGGTGCCGGTGAGGCTGCAGCATGAAGCTGAGCTTGGGCCGCCTGTCCCTCCTCGTGGCCCTGGTGGGAGCGTCAAGCTTCGTCTTCCTCGTGGTGGCCATCGCGACCGACTTCTGGTACATCATCGATGCCTCCAAGCTGGAGACTTCCCGCAACGGCACGGACGCCCTGAGCTCCCACTCGGGCCTGTGGCGGACCTGCCGCGGTGAGTGAGCGGCGCGGGGCGCCCCGCGTTGCATTAACTTTTAATCCAAACTTACTTAACAAGCGTTAACCATTTAGAAGGGAAGAGAGGTCTTTTGTGTCTTGCTCGGGGGAGGGGGGGTTAAGGGGCAAAAGCTCTGGGTGAAAGCCATCAAAAAAGTAAATAACAACATAGAGAATATTAATTTAAATAATAGTAAACAATATATAGTTTATATAAATAAGTACTACGAATATAAATTATATGAGAGTAAATAATATTAGTTGTATGTCTGCAAATCATGTAATTAAATTAACTTAATCCTGTGCTAACTAAAGGTGAGTGACTGAAGATTTACCAGGTTCACCAAGTGATTGTACTGCATTTGGTCTTGCTTGGTGTTTCAGTGCTCTGGACTTTAATGATAGCTCTATTAGCCCTATGTGGACAGGACAGGATTTTCCCCATTTAGTTTAATTTGTATGCCAGGCATATTCTTTGGGGTTTGATTCCTCCATTGAAAACAAGAAGTGAGGTTCATCATGGGCAAGAAAGGATGTTATTTGCAGCAGAGAAGAGGAGAACGTGCCGGTTAAAGGACTTCTTCCCTTTGCTGTACCCTTAGCCCCACTGAAATGAGCAGATTTTCCATCTTGACTTCAGTGTCAGGCCCCATGGGGGCAGAAGTTGGCCAGTGCTGAGTGCTGAAAATCCTCTCCTTCCCTTCCCTACCTAGGAATGACTGTTTTTAGAACAGATAATTTTATATGAAGTATATGTATGTGCAGAAACTCCATACATTGCAAGAAGATAAAGTGTAATTTTTTTCTCATTGTTTTTTTCCTTCTCTATTACTGTGGAGCAAATATATACACACAAAAGATAGAGGAAATATTGCAATGAGATATTATAGCATTAATTTTTCTCATTGTTTTTTCCCCTTCTCTGTTAGTGAGGAACGAATGTTATCCTTTGATAAACCCTTTCTGGCATGAGAATGCAAACATCACTGATTCACACAGACAGCTTTTATGTGAGTAACTTCTATATTAATTCTACATTTCCATTCACCCTTCCCTCCCTCCTTGGCCCATTACAGGGTCCCATTTCTGATTCAGAGAAGCAGTTCTTTGAGGTAGTGTTTTCCTTATGCTTCTGTACAATATCTGCCGCTGCATGTGGTATTTAAATGGTGTTACTGTTAAAATAACCATTTAGTTGGTGTCAAGTTCAGCCTATATTCTTCCCCAGGAGCAAGATGTTTCTGTCGGAATGGCTCAGGAAGGTGCAAAATTGCCATAACTAAAAGGCAAAAATGTTCAAAATCCCCCCAAAAGAGTTTGATCACTGAAAATGCTTAAGCACACATTTGAACAAATCTTTCAGACTGTCACTTACCTACCCTTTCAGTGGGATTCCTTACACTGAAAAAAATTTAAGGTATGTGGGAATTTTAAGGAAAGAAATCGATGACTAAAAGCAGTGTTCAAAGGCTTGGAAGAACATTGTGTTCAAAAACATTAAGTTTCTAACTGCATTGGTTGGTATTTACTCCCTTTTGTCTAGATTCATTTGTCAATGTCAGAATGTTTTCACAAAGTCCAAACTAAAGATTTACAAATATTTCTAGGCTTCTCCAAAAAGATGATTTGCGTTCTTTGCCTCATATTCTGCACAATGCTTTGCTCATACATGCTTCTATATGCACTTGCACTCTTTTTACTTTTTGCTTACTTCACTCTCCTCGCTGACTCTGCCTGTTTTCCACTTGCAAGCAGAATATATGCATTTGTTCTGTGTCTTAAAATGGTACTCTTTCCCTCAAAGCCAGCCATTTCACTGAGCAATCCTTCAGAGAGGCTTAGAGCGCCTTTAGTCTCTTGGAATAGCTTCTGAAGATAGAGGTAGAAGGACAGTACGTGTAACAAAGTAAGCCAGTGAGGTACTGATGTTAATGTAGCCGTGCTGCAACAGTAACTGGAAAGTTAAAGTAGGAGTAAGATCCCAGTGGGCTACTTCACAGGGGTACAAGCACATCAACAGGTTCAAGGCTCAAGAGCAGATTGTCTCTCCGTGCTTTCAAATTGAAAGGTGCCATTTCTTTAATCTTCCTTGCTTAAGACAGAGGGCCTTAGCTGCTTCATGTTGCTGAAAACTGTGAGGATCACTGAAAATGATTGTCTGCTGGATCACTTAAGTCTTTGAGGGTTTAATGTTAATTGGAAGCAGCAAGACTGATCATGTTTTAAGTGTGGGCACCTCAGCTGTTCTGTTGGAGATAGTCTTAAAATTCAGGATAAAATTATTAGCATTTAAAAAGTTCTGTTCATATCTGTAATTTTCCTCAGGGGAGGAGATTTTAGATTACGGCTCTTCAATGAAAGCTGAATTCTGCAAAAACAAAAGCAAAGACTGTACAGAGCTTTTCTGGTTACGAAAATTATGTTGGGTTGGAAACAAAGGACAGCTCTTTGGTACTCATGAAATGCAAGAAAATAGTGAATGTGAGTAAAAATTGGATTCATAGCTATGTTTACAGACTCTTCAGAGCCTCAGAGAATTTGTTTATCTCTTGCTTTTACATCAAGTACTATTTTTAGGTTTCTGGCAAAAGACTTCAGGTCTGCAAAGACACTTCCAGATTTTACTATAAGTAGGCATAGTCTGCCTAAAAATGATGAGAAATCAGAGATACTTTCACTGAAAGAACTTACAGATTTGATTTGAATGCCCTACAGAGTGAACTTCTTGATACTTGGATGCTCAGCCTCAATGCAGTTTCAGTGTGGTGAGGCTACAGACTCATAGCAATAGGAGCTGAAGATAGCAAGTGCCATGACAGTACTTCTAGAGAATCCTGATCTTTCTAAGTGACATCTAAGTTTGTTAATTAATAGCAAGTGCCATGACAGTACTTCTAGAGAATCCTGATCTTTCTAAGTGACATCTAAGTTTGTTAAGTACTGAGATATTGCTTCTACTTCAGCCTTACACTTTTTTCTTAACTAATTTCTGACTGTGCTCACTGAATTGTATTTAGGCAGATCAGGGCAAACCTTCATCTTCCTCTACAACGCATTTTAACTAGAACTTTAGAGGACAATTCTGGAATTGTGGATTTCAGTGTACTTACAGTAATTTGTTCATGTGTTGCTGTATGGGGCAAACTGGCTAATTGCACAGCTTTAATCGATTACTTTAAAAAATTACTTTTTTTCTCTGTGTGTGCCTGTGCAGGTGTCTATGAGGCATATTCATGTGGAATGAATCTCATTCTGTCTACCTGTACACACATATTTCTCACTGTTAAATTGGCAGGCTGAATTTCAGGAGCTCTGGCACCATTAATCATGCTTCTTGCTGATTATTCCTAAAAAGATTTAGAAGGGTTGCCTCCTAACACAGGTGCGTAAGTAACACATTGAGAATCCTGTCCCCCATTCTTCAGAGTTCCCATACTCTTCCTGGCATGTCTTAATTAGACGAAAGTGCCAAAAAGATGGGAGAAAGTCTGTATCTGAGTGCAAAGAGCTGGGTCTAAGTGGAAACAGAAGTGGTAGTCAGTGCCAGAAGACAAACCTTTCATTAGAGAATGAAAAGCCTTCACATTCTCTCCCTCCACATTTCCAATCTCTCTCCTATTCATCCCCAGCAGATTCCTTTTAGGTTTATTGCGGACTTCAAGTAGAGCTACTGGCAAGCTAAAGAAAAGAAAGGCGTACAAGTGAAAGTTTTGTGCTGCCAGCAGTATTACTCAGGCAATCAACCTAGGTCTTGTTAAGCCTGAGAGTGCAATGTATTTTTCACATCACAAGAGTACTACTCAGCAGTTTCCCTAATGGATTAAACACGTGCCTTCTCCTGTACTTTAAGCTTGTATTTCTTTCTTTACCACTCCCTCCATCTGAACATATGGTGTGTACCCTCAAACCCAGAGCATAAAAAGTATTTTCCTACTAAAGATCACATGATGGCATGGTTAAAATTTGTTTACATCATCACAATACACTACCTGGCTGCTTACCACCAGCTCTTCTCAAAATTCTACATTAAAAAAAATCTTTTTTTCTCTAGAGATGTACATTTTACTCTGTCCCATACAGTATTCAAATAAAAGTGTCACTTTTCACCATTTAGACAGTTACTAAGGTCTCTTGGGGATTAAATAGCTAGTATTAAAGTACTAGGATTAAAGATAGTCCTCTGAAAATCACCTTTAAAACTGAAATCTGTTGTCAAAGACACCCCACATATCTTGTCTTGCTATTCATCCTCCTGTGACAGCCACGAGAGACAAGCAGAAAGAGCAGCTTCTTTCCGTGATGAGCTGAATTCCATCTCTCACTACATGGTAAAAGAGGGATGTCACTTTGACTTCAGAGGAAGCTGCACCAGGAGTTCTGAACAGCTTTTCCATTTTCCTCAGGCATCTAAATGTTGAGCATCATGTCCAGAGAGAGGGAAACTGGTTCATAGAAAGAATGTCAGTTTTTAATCAACTAAAAAATCTACCTCAAGAGTTGCAGCTTTTAAAAATATTTTCTTAAAAAGAGAAATAAAATCAAAACCAAAACCCAACCCCCCAAAACCAGCCAACCAACCAACCAAAACCCCCAAGCCCTAACAAATCGAACCCAAAGCCCAACAGGTTACACTGGGGAAGGTTACTCTTGGGGCATTTTTGTAATATAAATATTTTTCATTTACCAAAGTCTGTATTGTTAATAAGAAGTAAATACCAATATAGGTTTACCTAAAGACAGCACCAGTGTTATCCCTGAAAAATAAACCATTTTGAAGTATTTCTAACCAAAATCAGTTTTTACTCTTGGACTTGGCCAAGTACTTCTTACAGGATAGACGAGTTGTCAAAAGAAGAAAGTAATGTGGTTGCTGCATACTAATGTATCCTGTCAAAACCCTTCTATGAACTTGACTTTTTGGAAACCCAAGTAACCTGTTCTTTTGTGTCTGTTATGGCAGGACAGTGATCCCTGCTTGGTAATAGGAAAATTACTTCCTTCTATGTTCTGAACAGTGGCTAAGGTTTTCTTAAAGCACGATGAAATTTATTAACATGAGGAGGGTTTTTTTTTTGTGTGTGTGTGTGCCTTCCCCCCACCCCTTTAGAGTTTAAAACCAAATTGCCACAAAGCTGACAACCACTGGCAACCCTAGTTTTTTGTTAGTAACATGAACATCATGGCTGGTGAATGATTTGCTGTTACAAGTCATTTTTAGTACTCTACCCCTGAGCCATCCAGAGATGATCAGTTAATGGATGTGGTTTCCTCTTATATATGGCTAGAAGAAAATGTTTGTCTTGTTATAAAACCAAGAAGTGTGCAGCTGCCCATGCACAACTGCTTAAATTCTTTTGCCCAGAGTGTTTTAATTTTTCCTTTTTAGACATCAGTGTAGCTGAAACCCTGGGCTGCAGACAAGCTGGTGCTTCCTGAAGGATAACAGTCTTTGCAGTAGGGGCAGTTCCTGGTGCCTCAGTTATTACAGTGTTACAGCTGCCTTGCTTTCTTCCTCAATGAAATTAGTTTAATAGTGCAGCTAAACAAGGCTGGATTTCCTTACAGCATGTAGACCTTGTAACAGTCACTAACCAGCTGCTTTCACACTTCTCCCCACTCTTTATGAGCCTGCTTAATTTTTATCAATTTACATGCTTATAGTGATATAATCCCAGAATGCCTTTGGCTGCCGTTACATTTTTCATGAGGGATTCACAGTTTTTTGCATTTTTTCCTTTTGGTTTAAAGTAATTAGAAGGAAACAGCTAGGGCTGGAGTACCCGTTAAGAGCTAGTTCAGAGACTGGATCCAAATGATGTACATAGAAATTCTAACTTACTGTTATGGTAGGTGCATACCTAAACAGATCTGCTTTGTTTCAGAGCAACAGTGCAGTGATCCTTCAAAGAGGTTCCAGTGAGCACTTGCTTCAATGCTTACAGTAGATATTACAATAAATAGACATAGAAATCTGGGATAACTTTAGCATCACTGCATCCAAGAGCTAATGAGTGACAACTTCTGATGAATATTCTCATTTTCAAATTCATTGCTGCTGTAGCAACAGAATGTGAACCACAGTGCATCACTTATGTTTGTCATTCTACCTGTTCCTACTATCGATGGTTTTCATCAGTGTCCACCTGTACCAAGTCCAGCATCATTTTATTTCTGCCATCTGCAATTTGCCTTCCAGTTTAGCTCAGACTTCTTGCATGAGACAAACGTAAAGCCAAAACATGTAACACAAGTCCAGAGCTTAGCTAATTACCCTGAAATACCCTAACCCTGTGAGCTCTCCTCCACCATCATCTTTTCTCTACTGAAGAGGAGGTAATACAAGCATCTATGTCCATTGGGTTCAAGCCCACATTTAGCCACAGAGAGCATTTCTTCTCTGTTGATCACTATTTCTCTAAGTTCCTTCTTTCCTTCCAAGCAGCTCAGGCTTTCTCATTGCACTGTTTCTTTCTGACTTCACCAAGTCTTTCCAGAGCAGCCCCACTGGTTTTAGCTACTACCAGCTTTCTGTTTCAGATAGAGGCCTTTATCTTACTAACTGACTATTTAGTTGCTGTTGGGGCAAGCAAACAAGTCCTTAATTAAGCTCTTCAGAGCTGCTGCCGTGTGGAGTGTTTCTGATGAGGTGACTATTTCAGATGTCTGAAGACTATTTGCTGTAAACTGTGCAAACAAATCTAAAATTAGTCTGAAACAAGCTCCAGCATACTAGGAGATGATTAACAAAACTGCTAGACCTGCAGTTGGTTACTTTAGACATCATTCACGTTTTCTAGTTCATTCCACAGATTTCTGTTACAAAGCACTCACCAACAGCTGTGTTGGGTGATAATTTAGAATTGTCTGCCAAATCTGGACACACACTGGAGATGTCATTCATACAGACGTTTGGTCAGGCCTATAGTAAAATAGCTTTGGCTAGCTGATGTAAAACTTTATTGATACAGATCAAGCAATTTAAGTATTGTTTCTACAAAAAAAAAACCCAAGTTTTTAAATATTCATCGATTTGTTTCAATATTGTCAGGATTAAACTACGGGATCTTTCTTGTTGGACTGACTGGGAACTCAGGCATTGAGATGTGGGAAACTAATTCTGTTTTCTAGGCAAGTGCATATACCCCTTCTTGTTCAAAATACTTAGGCTGTTATTATTTTAATACTGGATTAATTGAATCAGAATGAATTCAGTTATACAGATAATTCATCATACATAAGTATGTATTTCAACACAAACTAAGAAACACTAAAATGACTGCAAAATTAATGTTTTAACTTCTTTCACAGATGATTATTGAAGACAGAAACACAGTAAAGATATTTTAAGTCATGTTCTTCTATAAACTAATTCTGTTCCTCTAATCAAGGCATAATATCATATGCCAGACGGCATGAATTCAGATTCCTGAGTGGTTTCCATGGCAACATTATAGCATAAGTTTCCCAGACAGTTGCAGATTTCATAGAAGGACCAATGGCTATTAGGTATTGAACTAGAACACTGGAGGTGATACAATGCTGTTGAACCAAATTCAATCCATTAAATGTTTCATTTTTAAAAAGCTGCAGGTGATTCATGAGAAATGTGATCCCAGCAGTGTGTAGGAAAAGCAAGGCTCTGGTCACAGTGGGATCTGTGGGTTTCACTAAATATATCACTGATAATCGCTGAGATATCACTAAAACCTAGATTCCCACTGAAGAGGGCATACAAATCAGAATTATTCTGATATTGCATGCAGTTGTCACAGGTCATTAATGCCATCTATGACACTCCCCAGGAGAACAGCCTGATATGGAGTTGTTTTCCCTTTGCTTCAAAACATTACATTCAGAGCTCTATTTTCTTTACCCACACTTGTCCTGGCTGCAGTAGCTGAAATGACACCATGAAAAGGAAAGTCAAAGAAATAGCAACTGTTAATGTCCTGAGGAATAGTTTCTTAGCAGCAACTTTGATTAGTGAGAGACATCTGTCAAATCACAAAGCACAGGCCCAGTGATGACCTTGGTTATATTCCTTCCCTCCCAGCAAAGCCAGGTCTGAGGATGGAGTTGCACCATTCGTACTTTTAAAATGTTCATTGCATCAGATTTTACACCCTCCTACCCCCTGGCAAGCCCTTTTCACCTCTTACTTGCAAGATAAAATCTAAGAGGACACATAGATGTGAAAATGGTAGGGAAGCAAAATCAGACCTAATACCCACAGGAAGCAAAAATGAGGCCAAAGGCTATCCTGGTCCTGCTGCCTCTCTAGAATATGAGAACTAGATGTGTGCCGCATCTCTATCCCGTCATATCAGCTCTCATCTAATCCCTGACAACCACTTCTAACTCCTGAACTAAGTTTGAGAATATAATGAGAATATAATATCAGCATAAGTGGAAATGGAAACTTTGTTAATTGCCACATTTTTCCTTGTGAGCATGTTCTGTACTACACAAAACAAATTATGTCTCGAAGCCACATTCCACCCAAGTAAAGAAATTAACATCTGCCTTGATCCCATGAAATCTCTTCCTAACCTTCCCAGGTTCTACAACTGAACACAGATATGTATGTGCTTGAGCCTTAGAGTTATAATGTTATGGAAGAGGACAAGCTGGATCCTCAGCCATGGCAGGTGCAGTATCTCCAATTCAGTGGGCAGTTACAGTGACTTAAAAAATTGATCATCTGATCACACACAAACTGTGATCTCTTAACTGACTTCTTTTCCTTGGGAGCCAGGTAATGGTGTATTGTTGTTCTCTGTGAAATTAAATGAGATAGCAAAGCCTAGAGCCCTTCATCAAATGGATTTTAAGTTTTCCTTTCTCCGTGACTGTGCACTTCATTCTGGTATGAAATAAATTGTTCTGGAAGCTGGAATTACTTCTTTGTTATTATTCTAGAAAAGGTTGGGTTGAACATTGTTGATGGATTGCATGAGAGAGAGCAATGACACAAAGATGGTTTATGATGGAAAAAAACAGTGTGATATGAAAAATACATAGCAACCCTCTGTTTACACAGCTATTAAAATGTTGTAGGGATCAAGAAAGATTAATGTAAAACATTTAGCATGAGAGGAAGCAATGAGGATGGGTTAATGTACTTGGTGAAGCTGCTGTAGAAAACAATGACAGACATAGAATCAGAGCTGGATGGGAAAATTCACCTCTAGTTGATGGTCAGCTGCAACAAAGGAAAAGGTCAGGAATTTGCTAGATCCATTCAGCAGAGGATATGTGACAGAAAAGAAAGTGTTTAACCAAAATTTGTGCTGGATCTCACCACCCACACTGAAGAGAACAATGCCACTCACTGTTATCTGTATGATTCAGATAACCAGGGCTACTTTTTCTTAAGGCTGTCAGTTACTACCTGATATGCGATGCATCATCTGTTATCTAGCTAGGTTTAATATCGGAGAACAGTTTAATTGCCTAAATATATCCATGTAGGCATATCCTTTATATTTGTGGTCTCTCTTTGAAGTGCAGGCTGTGGTCCTGTGAAAGGCTCACTCTGCATCTTACCTTTTTCTCCATACCATTTATTTGTCCTGCTAACTGAAAACCCAAGAGATTGTCCACCTCCTTGCTTTTGCAGCACAGAATAAGGCTTTGATCCTTTCAGGGGCTCTGCACTCAATAATTATTACTACATCCAATGATACCATAATAAAATACTAAAATTCTTAATTTTTCTTCAGATATGCACGGAACATTTGTCATCCTGATGCCTCTCAGCCTGATATTGATGATTTTTGGAGGAATGACTGGATTCATCAGTATTATTGCCAGGGCCTACCTACTACTTCTAATGACAGGACTGCTCTTTCTTTTTGGAGGTACTATATCAAACTCCTGTCTTTACCATTTTAAATAATAAAACATTTTGTCTGGGAAACATCCCTTTGTCTTCCCGGGAAAAAAAAGCTAAGCAAGAATTTACTTTCAGAATAATGCTGATGTTCATTTACTTGGTCTGCTCAGCTCCTGACAGGGTTCTGGAATAGAAAGCTGCCATTTAGAGTCGGGAAAAACAAATAAGCACACACAATCATATATCCCTGTGGACACAGAAGATTTAATACCTTCTCAGCGCAGTACCGAAATTCTCCACAGACAGGGTAGTGGAGTAATGGAGGAGTGACTTTGGAATTAGTAGAGCATAGGGTTTGATAGACTTGCACAGATCTTAAAACTATTAAGAAAACTGACATTTTTTCAAAGGTACTTGACCCTCAAAAGGGCCTTGGTAGGCATTCCTGGGTCAGATTCACTGCTAACTTTGAACTAGAGAGGAGTCCCCAGACTGCGGGTCGCAATAGAAACCCCAAAGAGTTATTTTAGTTGGAGTGTAACATTTCAATCTGAAGCTGCTAAAATTCTTTTACATTTTGTGTTCTATTATTTTTGCTGTAACCAATACCATTTCGTTTATGAAATTAAAAATGTTCTGTCAAAGTAGAAAAACTGGGCTTAAATCCACTTCCATTTTCTTCTCCAAATAGATTTTCAGTACTGTTTCATGATGTAATTTAAACAGAAATTTTCCCCAGCAGAAAAGGGGATCTTCAGTATTGGCCCTCACCACCTGATCATACGATCCCTGTTTCTAAGAAAAGAATTCTAAGAGATTGCTGAAAGCAAATGCTGCTGTCTCAAAGTCCTGAATGATCTTCTAGTCTGAAATGCTCTTACAAAGACCAACCATCCTCCATTACGCTTTTCTTCTTCAAAAAGAAAAAGTAAGTTCTATTTCCTTAGAACATCAGAAAGCTGTATTCACTAAAAAGGCTTAGGCTGTTTGGAAACTACTCCAAATAGTAAGTGAAAGATGAAAAGCCATGAAGTGCAAAGCATGATTATCTTGCTGAGGAGTGGAGTACTATGCCTTTCTAGCACACTTGGGGTTGCAAAGGGGGAAAGGAAACACAAAGTAGGAGAGGAGTGCTTGAACATGTTTTCAGGATGCAGCTAGGCTGTTTCACAGGACAGCATAAACAGACTGACTGCAGGGGGGACTTTGATGTGACACCAGACCCTCTTCCTGCTCAGGTGGTATTGTTCAGCTCTTTCAACTGCACTGAGGCTTGATGCATGTAACAGGTATGCACAGTTGTGTAGGATATTCTAGTTCACAAAGTTCAGTATTGATTAGATAGTTATCTCAGCAGAAAGAAATATTTCATGCTGCAATTTCAGAAACCTGAGGTTTTTTCAAAGTACCAGAACTGTTCTACACCCCATGACATTCATTTTGCTTCCCCATTTTGTTGAAATGCAGCCACATTTAAGGGGATCACAGACCTTGGCATACCTTGTTGAAAATGTCAACAAAAGAGTCATTTCCATTTCTGCTGGCAAAAGGTATAAAGTGATTTCTCCCCCCACCCTTGTGGAGGACTAGAATAAGGTACAGTCATCACAGCATGGTTAAAAACAGTAATATGAGTATGAATTTTGACTGTTGGATAACCCAATACTCTTCTGTCTTGGTTTGCCTCTACTCAGATTTGTCTTTCTGCCAAAAATGCAAACTCATCTAGACTTACACTGTGATTTAACAAAAAGCTAGACCAAAATTTTTCTCCCTCAGGATCAGATAAGACACTATCTTGTCCTACAGGTATTCCAGGATCTATTTTCCCCTGGCTACGGTCCTTTAATCCAGGGCATTTCTGTCACATGTTGCCTGCCACTGATCCAAGTAAAGTTGTAACTTTCGTTAACATATGTCCTTTGAGTGACATAGATGCCAGGCCCATGGTGTAGCATGCACTTGTGCTAGATGTGCTATTCCCTAAGTTTGCTAGCTGATCTGCAGTCCTTTCATTCTGAAAATATCTGGCTTTATTAACTTATTTTTAGTCTGCTCCAAAGATGTCTTTTGCTCAATTATTTGGAAGTGATTAATAGTCGTGACTCCACAACACTTGGTGGGAGGAGACAGTAAAGACAGACACATGTAGATTGAACACTCAAAACTTATAATACCCCAAATTAGAAGACATCCTAAATTTCAGTCACTGACCTGAAATGCGACAATCTCTGTCTCCAGAGACAACCTCTGGGCTTTCTTGAGTGGAGGTACATAACTGCACGTGGTGCACAGCAATGAGAAATCAGGATGCTTTATAATACAGTCTGGAGATGTACATGCGTTAGATATCCGTAAAAAACATGACTAGATTTTTATTGTGGGAGGCTTGCTGTTACACATTTTGATTCAGTATTTAACAGTGAGAACACGTTAAACTCAGTGGACAGAAATAACTGTCCCTTTACTTCCCTCTCACTCATCCCCAGAAAACAGCCTCAGCTAGATTTCAGAGTTAAACGGGCTAGCTAGTTATGTAGCCTGGGTAGATAGAAAGGATTGGCAAAGAAGCCCTAGGAGATACCGAGTTAACTGTTTTTAATTTCTGCAGTGGATGCTAACTAGCTGAATATGCTTTTCTTTCCCAGCTCTTGTTACACTTACTGGGATCAGTGTTTATATTGCATATTCAGCTGCTGCCTTCAAAGAAGCTGTCTGCCTCCTGAGGAGTAAGGATCTCCTGGTAGAAATTGACATCAGGTTTGGCTGGTCACTGGCACTAGTCTGGATCTCCTTTGTCACAGAAGTGCTCACTGGGGCTGTGTTTCTCCTGGCAGCAAGAGTTGTGGGTCTGAAACAACGACGTGAACAGGCGTTATGAGCAGCAGGTACCATTGCAGCATCAGAACGCCACAGAGCATAGAAGTGTGGATTGCTTAGTCCATCTGGTCACTAGGGGTAATAAAATTGGCAAGGCTGTGACTGAGTGTCTTGTCAGTTGCCATAAACCTTTTTCCTCACAGTGAGCTACAAAAAACAAAGATTCTGATAAATAAGTAAAACATATCAAGTGTTGTCAACAAGAAAACTCTTATGACTTTAGAAGAAAATACAGTGCAGTGTTAGCATCTCCAAAGTAGTTTAATCTGTCAGCAAATAAGGCATCTCAAATCATTGCTTAGAACAGGCAGATTTCTTGCTTTCTTTTCTCCTTTCTGCTGTCCCAGCGAAGTGCCTCAGAGTACCTTGCAGGCCAGTATGCACGGCTCACTTAGCTTTTGGTTACTTCTCTGAGAGTCCTGATAAGTATGCATCCTAGGATTCCAGACATGTTGGCAGCTTCTACCAGCAGAGGTGCTCTGAGATGGCTACCTTGTGGTAGAGAGTGTGATCTTGAGGCACCCTCAGTAAATTTGCTGACAACATCAAGCTGCATGGTGTAGTCAATACATTGGAGGGAAAGGATGGGATCCAGAGGGACCTGGACATGCTGGAGAGGTGGGACCGCACAAACCTCATGAAGTCCAAGAAGACCAAGTGCAAGGTCCTGCATGTGGGCTGAGGCAATTCCAAGCACAACTACAGACAGGGTGCAGAATGGATTGAGAGTAGCCCTGAGGGGAAGGACTTGGTGGTGCTGGTTGACAAGAAGCTCAACATGAGCTGGCAGTGTGCGCTTGCAACCCATAAAGCCATGTAGTAGTGACTATGATGGTGAAGTTCTCAAGTGTAGTGCAGTGGGGAATGTACTGCAAGAGAAAGATACAGCTTCTTTTCCAGATGTTTTAAGTACCTACTCTAGCCAGCCACAATCTGTCAGATGCTCAGGCTATACACTTACCAGTTTCAGCTTATTACTGCCTGCTTTTTCAGTTCTGTAGTGAGGAATACGAATCTGATGCATTTCCCAGTTTTTATGTAGCAATTTTGACAGTGCTTCTTTTTAATGAAATTGGTTCACATGCTTTGTGCTAGAATATGCTTAACATGTGCTGAAAACTTTTGGCATAAACTGGAAACACAGAATACCTGTGTTTTATCTTAGCTGCCAAGAAGTCTCGGTTTTCTTAATTAGTTTTTCCTCTGGGTAATAACTGTTTAAGACAAAATTTACTTCACTGCCTACTGAAGTTAAGGAAGAATTTTTCCCCTGCCTGCTATAGCTTTCAATAAAGACTTGGATGTGTTAACAGCTCTGCTACATTTCTGTTAGACCATGTACTTCTGGAGGACTTCAGCATATCACTGTTCATGACTGTGGCTCAAGAGCTGTGTCAGCAAGGCACACTATGTCACTGGGCAAGTCCCTTGTACTTTTCCCAGTAGTGCAAAGGGCAACATTTACCTACCTCTGTTAAATATCAGAACAATTTCATCATTTGTCTTGCGTTAAAGATTGCACATTTATTCTTATGGAGCTCAGCTCTTAATCTTAGTCACACAGTACCAATTATTTTACAAAAAAATAGTGGCAGGGAGCTTTTGAGACCTTATAGTCTTTGGAGATGTAAGGAAACATTGTTAGTGCCATGCTGTGAATGGAGAACAGAGGCAGAAAAACTGTCCAAGGTCACTTGAAACCAGAGTTTCTGAATCTCAGTCCAAGACCTTAGTTGGTAACACCTTGCTTGTTATCGGGATGAAGCAAGTCCTGAATAGACTGAGCAGTAGAAATTCTGTGACTAGGCAGTACAATTTTGTAATTCTCACCTGCTCCCACATTGGTTTCCACGTATCTTCCATTTTGCCTTGTGCTGAGACTGTGTAATTGAGTCGTTTTACAAGTTAAAGCGTATCAAATCAGAGCTGTAAGAAGAGTAAGAAAAAAATCCTTTGTATCCTAAATTCCATGTGCTGAAGTGGATTATGTAAAATGTGATATTTCTATGTTTTGGTGCTGGTGAAGCTATTTATAATGCAATTTGTATGGTGTTACTTGGACATTACTGGAAACTGCAACAGTAAAATGTTATCTGAGTTGTTTTTTGAATATTTATTACAGGTGTTATTTTCCAGTGGTTTTAAACGTTGTAAAATTAAATAAAATGACTTCTCAGAGCTGAGAATTATTTACCAAGACACAGAAGAGCTAAGATATATATTTTTCTTTAACTTTTTCTGCAGATCTATTGTACAGTTTGCATGTGCTTTTGAAGTGCAAGTGTCACATGTGGTAGTTACTTATAAGATACTTATGCAGCTACAATATAAAATAGTCACGTGATCAAATCTAATTTAGAAAGCCAATGAATTTGTTATTGAATTAGAGCAATTCTCATTTCCATGGCTTTCCTAAATTTCTAATTCTGGCTTCCTGCAAGATCTGGTACAGTGGTAATAAAGAGTGTCATCTGCTCCTGAATATTTGTATAACCCCTGAATATTTGTATAACCCCTGAATTTCTCTGAAATTCGTCCTGAATACAAATTAAAAAAGATGATCTGTAATTGTCAAATTAGCTTTGAACATTTTGAAGAATTGTGCTAGAAAGAGAAAACATCCTGGAGAGGACATTATGTAGTTTGGTACAAGTGACATTATAATCTTCTTCCTCTTGCTGAAGCTAACGTTTATTTTATCCCCAGTTCTTTGCTGTGTTTTCCCCAAAATGTGTTACTGAGATGAAGGCACTGACTGTTCCCATTATTTGCTGGTGAATTACAAACTCATAGGCAATTGGCCTCGTTTAAATTGAAGAAAAACATATGTACTGAGCAGAGCAGTACTGTTTGAATGGTTAGAGTACACAGAGCTACTGGACAATACTAGTCACTAATTCAAAGAATTCCTCAAGGGATGGCAGAGAGGGGTGGGGGAGGTCAAAGGGATCCTTGAGGATGAAAAAAATGCAGAAATGCCAGACATTTAGAGGAGATGCTGGTGAATATAATGTGGACATGAAACCACAATGATTTAGTCTGGGTCTGTGCTGTGGGAGCTCCTGTGGGAGTAGGTGAGAATTACCTGCCTCTGAAGAGCAAGAGGACATTACTGGTTCTGGCACTGCTTCAGTTAAAATAGCTCCATATATTTGTTGATCACTGGTTCAAAGCCAATAGACCTGAATTGTGGGTCAATCAAATCAGCAGATAATGAGAAATAAAACCAAATCTTAAAAACACTGCTCCCCAGCCCTTCCTTCTTCCCAGGCTGAACTTCAATATGGATTTTCTCTACCTCCTCCCCACCAGTGGCACAGGGGAATGAGGAATGGAGGTTGTAGTCAGTTCATCACGTTTTTTTCTGCCATTCCTTTTTACTCAGGAGAAGGCTCCTCACACTCTTCCTCTGCTCCAGCGTGCGGTCCCTCACATAGGAGACAGTCCTCTATGAACTTCTCCAATGTGAGTCCTTTCCACAGCCTGCAGTTCTTCATGAACTGGCCCAGCATGCATCCCTTCCATGGGTACAGTCCTTCAGGAACAGACTGCTCCAGTGTGGGTCCCCTTCAGGGTCACAAGTCCTGAAGCAAACTTGCTCCAGTGTAGGCTCCTCTCTCCACAGGGCCACAGGTCCTGCCAAGAGCCTACTCCAGAGCAGGATTCCGATGGGGTCACAGCTTCCTTCAGGCATTCCCCTGCTCCTGCATGGTGTCCTCCATAGGCGCCAGGTGGATATCTCCTCCACCATGGACCTCCATGGGCTGCAAGTGGGTATCTGCTCCACCATAGACTTCCATGGGCTGCAGGGGACAGCCTGGGTTACCATGGTCTGCTTTTGCACCTGGAGCACCTCTTCCTCCTTCTTCACTGACCTTGGTTTCTGCAGAGCTGTTGCTCTCATATTCTCACTCATGCCTCCCAGCTGCAATTGCTCCTGCACACTTTTTTCCTCTTCTTAAATATATTATCCCAGAGGCACCACCACTGTCACTGATGGGCTCGGCCTTGGCCAGTGGAGGGTGTGTCTTGGATCTGGCTGGCACTGGCTCTGTGGAACATGTGGGGAAGTTTCAAGCAGCTTCTCACAGAAGCCACCCTTGTGTCCCCCCTCCTTCCAGCCTTGCCAAGCAAACCCAGTACAACCTGACTGACCCTATGCAGACACATGTGATTCGTAATTTCCTCCTCCCAGGTCTGAAAGGATGGCAGGAGGGAGATCCAAAAGGACATGCTCTCTATATGCCTAGTTGGTCAGCAGCAGAGGAGATCCAGAATCTACCCAGAACCTCCCCACTAAGGTGACCACAGCAAAGCATGGAGTGCCCGCCTACTGAAGCTGTTAAGGGAAACTGGAACTGGCTCACAAGACAGATCCAAGAGACTCAGATTTTCCCAAACTTGCTTGACACTTTGGGATCTCAAGTAATCTAGGCCTCCAATTTTATCACTTATTTTGTATTGTTTTGCAAATGAAATCCAGTGATCTCAGCTATTTAAAAAGTGAAAACAAAAATCTAAGGAAATCTGAGCCAGCTTCGTGAATACAGATATTCTTTTCCCTGATTAGTTTTGTAAATTCCTTGCAGCGAATCAGTTCATAGTTAGCCAGGATATATCAGCAAAAAACACATGTCACTTGGCCTCCTGACTGCTGTTTTCTCATTAACAGACTTAAGTTGCCCCAGTTTAGGACCAAAAAGGTTAGAATGAATGCTCTGGCTCTGTACTAGAGAATCAAACATCCCTAGGACTGGTATAACCATGTTTACGAGAGACTGTTGTGCTTCAGGACCCCCAGTTTGTTTGCTAAGTGGGCACAGTTGTTAGCCTGGCAATTGCAAGCTCACAAGAATTTGGTCAGATGTTCTTGGAGGCCAGACAAAACTACCTTGAAGACCGGGTTCAACCCCAGAGTTTTGTTACCCTTGGGTTAAGTTACAGGTCTTTACTGATTGCGTTCCTGTTAGGTTACAAAAAATAAGATTTTTTTACTTTTACTGAAACATTATACTGCTGTTTTACTGTAGTAGCTTTATCCTATGTTTTACACATCAGCTTTAACCCTAACTAGGCCCTCAAACTTTTCTCTCCCTGTTTGCAGCAGCCATATCACTGTCACATTCAGTCTTTGGATGCATATTATTAATGGCAGTATATACTGCTGGGTCACGCCCCACTTTGGCATTTGTGTAGCTTGAATGCTCTGACTTGAGAGGCATTTTCCATTTTGTGATGGTTTGCATAGAAAGAGCGGTCTCTACTGACATCTCATGGCTACACTGAGCAGTTGACTGTATCATCCATAACAGCACATACAGGACAACCACGTGATCAGGCCAAGTCAGCATGGGTTTATGAAAGATCCTGCTTGACTGACCCGATCTCCTTCTATGACAAGGTGACCCGCTCTGTGGATGAGAGAAAAAGCTGTGGATGTTGTCTGCCTAGACTTTGGTAAAGCCTTTGACACCATTTGCCACAGCATTCTTGTGGAGAAACTGGCTGCTCATGGCTAGGATGGGTGCATTGTTTACTGGGTAAAAGCCTGGCTGTACGGCCAAACCCAAGATGTGGCAGTGAGTGGAATTAAATCCAGTAGGGTACTGGTCACAAGTGGTGTTACAAGTGGTGTATATGATGGCTTACTTCCTGAATAAGGCTGACTGTCTAACAATTTGAACAATCGAAAGGGACAGACCTCAGGATCAGTCCAGAAAATATAAGAGGCGTTCTGCAGGAAACAACATGCTACATTATCCTGTGGCTCTTAATTTCTTTACCCCCTCTCAATAAAAACATTTTTCCAAACAGCGTCAGGAAGCTCTGCTTTCACTGGGAGCTGAGCAACTTCCGGGAGATTCACTGTGACAGTGCTCAATTTTGAAACTATGCAACAACTGTTGAGGTAAAAGAGACCAACTCTACCCTCTCACATTTTTTAGATTTAGGCTTCCTTTTCTGGGAACTGTGGCACCATTGTCCACTCCTGATCTACAAATATACCTCTGCGTAGATTGCTCAGACACATCTGTAATTCTTCCAAGCCAAATTACTAGCATATAGCACCTCCTTAAAAAAGTGCTCTTAGCTGTGATGCAGTCACAGACTGGTTTTGGTTGGAAAGGACCTTAAGATCATCCTGTTCCAACCCTCCTGCCATGGGCAGGGACACCTCACACTAAACCATGTCACCCAAGGCTCTGTCCAACTGGCCTTGAACACTGCCAGGGATGGAGCATTCACAACTTCCCCGGGCAACCCATTCCAGTGCCTCACCACCCTTACAGTAAAGAACTTTTTCCTTATATCCAATCTAAAGTTCCCCTGTTTAAGTTTTAACCCATTACCCTTTGTCCTGTCACTACAGTCCCTAATGAAGAGTCCCTTCCCAGAATCCCTACAGGCCCCCTTCAGATACTGGAAGGCTGCTATGAGGTCTCCACGCAGCCTTCTCTTTGCCAGGCTCAACAGCCCCAACTTTCTAAGCCTATCTTCATATGGGAGGTGCTCCAGTCCTCTGAAGATCCTTGTGGCCCTCCTCTGCACTTGCTCCAACAGATCCATGTCCTTTTCATGTTGAGGACACCAGAACTTCACACAATACTCCAAGTGAGGTCTCACAAGAGCACAGTAGAGGGGCAGGATCACCTCCTTCGACCTGCTGGTCATGCTCCTTTTGATGCAGCCCATGATATGGTTGGCTCTCTGGGCTGCAAGCGCACACTGAAGCCAGCTCATGTTCAGTTTCTCATCGACCAGCACCCCCAAGTCCTTCTCTGCAGGGCTGCTCTGAATCTCTTCTCTGCCCAACCTGTAGCTGTGTCTGGGATTGCTCCGACCCAGGTGTAGGACCTTGCACTTGTCATGGTTAAACTTCATAAGGCTGTCATCAGCTCACCTCACAAGTGTGTCAAGGTCCCTCTGGATGGCATTCCTTCCCTCCAGCATATCAACAGAACCACACAGCTTGGTGCCATCGGCAAACTTGCTGAGGGTGCACTCAATCCCACTGTCCATGTCAGTGACGAAGATGTTGAACAAGACCGGTCCCAACACCAATCCCTGAGGGACACCACTCGTTACTGGTCTCCAGCTGGACATTGAGCCATTGACCACAACTGTTTGTGTGCGGCCATCCAGCCATTTCTTTATCCACCGAGTGGTCCATTCATCAAATTGATGTCTCTCCA